TCCCTCCTGCCTCTAGGTTAAGGGAGTATCGCTCCATGGGGAATGTGCTCCCAAAGTCCTTTCGTGCACCAGGGATAGATACATTTTGGTTCCACTGCCAGAGGTCCCATAGACTGCCCAGGCCTTTTAACTGAGACCCACGTTGAGGGGGTCTGGGCCAGTCCTATGCTGATTTCCAAGCTGTCAGTCTGGGGTCCATGAGCTCCCCCTTTTTCAGGTCAGCTGACTCAGTGGGTTTCTCCAGCCTGGTCTTGACTCCTTTGCTCATCACTCCTCCCTCTCTGCAACTGGATTCGAGGAGTTCTGTTCAGTGTTTAGCTGTGGGTGTCTGCTTCTGCTTCCATCAGCTACTGGATGAAGGCTCTAGGATGGCATATAAGGTAGTCTTCAATCTCAGTATAGGGGAAGGGCATTTAAGGCAGCCTCTCCACTATTGCTTAGTTAGTTAGTTGGGGTCATCCTTGTAGATGTCTGGACATTTCCCTAGTGTCGGATTTCTCTCTAACCCTGTAATGGTTCCCTCTATTACAGTATCTTCTTTTCTTGCGAGGAAAACATTTTTATACAGACATGAATTCAGCCAAGGGTGGCTAGAGAGAGGAAACAAGAGGCGGACCTTTGCTTTCTGTTTCAGTTTTAAATAAAATCAGTCCAAGAGAAACCAAAAGTACAACCCTGGGTCTTAAAGGAACAGATGGGACCGAAGTCTTCCCGACTCCCTCCCTCTCCATCTTGTTGGGATCCAATCTCTGACACCACCCAAGAGACCCCCGAGACTGCTCTCCTCTTACTTTTAAAAGAGTTACCTCAGCAAACAAGAAGCTCCACCCCTACCAGGCCAGATAACCCAAGGTCAGGGGTGGGGCGAACGCACACCACCCAACTTTGCGCCTTCCAGACCTTTGTCCCATGGAGGAAAGGGACATATGAGAAGGGACGTATTCTAACACCTCTGAGGTTGATGTGGTTCCATTTTGCTGGAACATGATTTGTTGTTGACAGTTTTACTTTCTGGTCTCTTTGTGGGGCTGCAGAGGAACATCAGAGGGGTGGAAATGCTATTTTCACCCCGGAAGCAAAACCTCTTACCGGGCAGAGGCAAATAAGCCAGCCGCGCTCAGATGAACTCAGTACATGTATTTGGAAGACACCAGTTTGGGTGCCATAGGTTTGTTAGGGGATGTGCCTGGGTGTGAGAACTCTAGGTGCTAAGAGCTCAAATGCAAGACTGATCTGGCTGCTCTCACTTTCCTCTTTAGTGGCCTCAGAGCCACCTGATTTTAGTTCCGATGACTTACACTCGTTAGGGGCCTCTGACAGTCCAAAGTCACTGGCTCTCCGGACAGGCCCAGCTCTTTGCGCCAGAGCCATTGTCTTGCAGTATTGATTTCCTCTGGCTCAGTAGTGTGCCTGTTGCTCAGCACTTGGTTCAATGTCTTGTCCTCCATCCTGAGTCACAATGGTTGGCCGGATCCCTGGCAATCAATCGCCTGTTTCTGTAGGAAGATGCTTGATGTTGAACACACACCGAGCAAACTGTTCAGTATGGAATATAGTGACAACTAGGAGAGGAAAGATCACTTCAGAACAGGCTGAGTGCTCGGTGTTCACTCCAGTGCTGTTGCTAAGCAGAAAAACAGAAGCAAGGAGATGATAGGGCTCCTCGGTAAGGGAGATGGGTGAGACAGTGAGCAGCTATTTTAAGTAAGGTACAGCCAAGTGCCCAACAGGGTGACCAGGAGAGTTAGCTGGTGTGCTGCCATGCGTAAGAGCAGAGGAAGGCATTCCCACATGCGATATGCAGAATTTGGGGAAAGTTGGGAGGAGGCACCGGAAGCAATACTAATGGTCTCTGAGGACTGAACTCAGCAGTGAGAACTTGATTTCTTCTGTCAGTTAAAAACATCATGGTGGTATTGCTGCGTGCGTGTGTGTGTGTGTGTGTGTGTGTGTGTGAACACTAGCTAAAAGAAATAAATACATTTAAAAAAAGAACAGCTATCTTTAGAAGGCGCTGAGAAAAGTTAAGTCTAAAAACTCCCCTCCCTGGGCAGGGCAAAGCAGGTACAGAGAAAGGGATGAGGCCAGCTGCAGACACGGATTTCCCTCTGCAAATGGTTCTTGGCTGTGCCTGAGGCTCACTACCAGCCAAACCGAACAAACCCCCAGCTCTCCAAGGAGATGGTGACTACACTGAACAAGAGATTTCCTAGTGACAGCCTTGGAGGGACTGAACATTCACTGGCCTTTGCTGCCATCCTTGCTCTGAGGCAAATCTCTGCTACGTTTGTTTATGCTGTGGAATATTACTTTAACTATGTGAAGGTATGTTACTTCTGCTGCCTTTGTTAATGCTGCAAAGATGTGTTACATTTGTTTGTGTGGCATTTGGTTAATTATGTAAAGGTGTGTTGCATTTGTGCACCTTGACTGCCTAAGGCACCTGATTGGTCTGATTCAAAGCTGAACGGCCAGTAGACAGGCGGGAGAGGGATAGGTGGGGCCGGCGGGCAGGGGGAACAAGTAGGAGGCAAAATCTAGACTTGAGAAAGAAAGGAGAGGAGAAGAGAAGGAAGGAGGCCGGAAGCCAGCCAGAGCCGCCAGCCAGACACAGAGACAGCAGGAAATAAGATAAACATAAACAAAGAAAGGTAAAAAGACCTGACACAAAACACAAAGAGAAACAGATTGAGAGAGAGAGAGAGGAGAGAGAGAGAGCTAAGTTAAGGCTGAGCATTCAAAACTAATAGTAAGTCACCATGTAAAGATCTGGGAGCTGGTTGGTGGTCTACCCTTCTCTCAACGTGCGTGATTTCTCAGTATGTACAAATACAATACCTTCTTTGGAATCCGAGGAACATCTGGTTGGAATTCTGACGGCTGTGTACCCCCCATGTGACCTTAGTCACCTGAGCCTTCTGCATCTTGTTTCCTGCTCTGGAAAATGGGGATTCCAGCAACAACATCCACTCCAGGGACTGATGTGGAGCAGTTGGAGTTCATGTCTGTGTGTGAGCAGGGGCTGCTGCAGCATGGCTGCCAGCCTTCACGTTTTCCCAGGCCTTCCCGTTTAACCACCCTTCTTGGATTTCTTAGCTGGCGTGTCTGGCAGAATGTAGGTTCCTTGACCCAACCCCAGCAAAGCCACGGAAGCCTGCAGTGGATCCTGGGAACTTGTTCCCAGTGACGTGGGCAGTGGCGGTTACTCAGGGATGTGCTGGACCCCACCAGCCCTGGGTTTCAGCCTTTGTAGGTTTGAATTATCATGCCCAGTTTATGTGGTACGGGGGATTGGATGCAGGGCTTCTTAAATGCCAGCCAGGTATTTTTACCAACAAAGCTACACCTTCAGGCCATTCTAGTCTTTTTTGGGGGGTGCTTCTCTTGGAGAATTTAGAGGGGCATTCTGCTTTCTCCTCTCAGTGTCCTATTAACTTCTGTCCCCAATAGTACCTCCTATGCATCTGGCTCCCTGTGAGTGCTCATGGACCTGTACCAACCTGCCAGGAGTCGGGACCTTCCCAGCCACTCTATGTCCTCGCACCACACTAACCATAAGGCCCCAGAAAGGGACCAGCCCCTCCCACCTCTGTGTCTCTTTGGACAAAGCAGACCATTTGGGTTTTCTTGAAAGGAAGAAAGAAGTTTTCCTCGGCTGAGGTATGCTTTGAGCTCTACACGGTCACTTCAGATTCGACCCTGAGCACCGTACGGGTTCAGGTTTAAGGAAACTGGCCAAACTCTCTGGGTGATTTGGGCAATAGCTTTGATGAGGAATCAACATGCTCTTTCCAGGGAGCTATAGTTCAGATATTGTTGCCACTCTACACTTGCCAAAGGCCCTTGCATTGGAAGACTGGTCATTGCATGGTGGTGTAGCAACTTTAAGTCTAGTGGGAGGAGATTAGGGGTCCTTGAAGGAGATTAAAGGTGTTTCTTATGAGACCCTGGTTAGTTCTCCCAAAGGTGATTCTAAGAGCCCCAGCCTGGCTCTTCACCTCAGCCAAAACAGCAAACACTTCTCCCATCATAGTGTGATGGCTCTGCCATCCTCACCAGAGGTCAAATACAGCTGTCTGATCTTGAATCTAGAGCCTTCTAAATGGTGAGTTGTGTGAACATCTTTCTTTCCTAAGTCATTTGCTTTGGCTAGCTCATGGTAGTGATGAACGCTCCCTAGAGCAGGGGACTGTGGGTGGCTGTGTGCACCATAGCACACCCCTGGGTGTGGCCTTCCCTTGGGAATGGCCTACCTTGGTTTTTGAGATGGGGTATCTTATTGGTCAGTGAGGCTGAGCCAGGAATCCCCGAGGCTTCATCTGTGTGCCTGCGATTATAAGCACTCACTGCCACATCAAATATTCATGAGGCTTCTGGGGATGAGTTCGAGGTTCCTGTATTTGTATAGCAAACACCTGCCCTGGTCCGAGGCTCTGCGGGACATTGTTTCCTCCCGAACACAACCAACCTCACAGTCTTAACTAGCTCACCATTGCCTACAGGTGCAGCAAATGCAGTCCTGGGGCCTACAGCAAGAGCAAGCCGGCAGGCACTGGTGCTGTCCAGGGTCTTTGCAAGGACGGAGAGTAAGTCTTTGGTGCAGGCCGGTGGGGAGAGGGCGTCGTAGTTTGTGGAAAGGCCCCACGTGCCCAGAGGACTAGAGCTCCAGCTTCAAGACACCCTTCCGAAAGCAATGGCTTCTCATTTCTCCCAGGGACTCCCTGTCTTCTCACAAACTGGCTCTTTGAAGTAAGGCCTTGCGTTGGACTCCGCTCTGTGGCCACCTTTCAAAGGCTCTTTTAGGGGACCCTGCAGACAGTGCACAAGCTGCCCCAAGGGCAGAAGTATTCCATTTTGTTATTTAAAAAATTTCCCCAAGGGTGTACGAATAAAGTGGTGTGTGTTTGTGTGAAAGCTTTGCTCGCCAATAGGAAATCTACCCTCGTCCCCAACTCTGCTTTCAAAGCCTTTCTGAAATAACACGAACTCTACTGTTTACGAGAATTTAATTCTTCCTTTAATATAAATAAGGCAGCATGAAACCCCAAGAGCCTAGCACTTCAGAAGCAGGCCTGTTCCAGCCAAGTGCCCCAGCAAACAAGAAGCTACATGTGCTCATCCTGTGACCTTTCTCCCGGGAGTGAAAGGGAGCTGAAGGAAGTTCAGGCTTGGTCTTGGCTTCTGGAGCTGGTTCTCAGTTGCTGGGCTCTTTGAAACACAATGGGATACAAATGAGCAGGGACAAGGCACAGATGATGATAAATAAAGACGTCTGCATCTGCCCTGACTCTGGAAGGTACCTATTGGACAAGGTGACTCAGGGCGCTGACAGAGTCACACTTTGAGTAGGCTCATTTACAGGGTCCTAGATTGCCACTTTGAAGTTGTGAGGGGGCGGACCACACATGCTCAGTCTAACTCCTGATTATACTCAGGCATCCTATCATCTCTGGCTACCCTGCGGGCAATAGATCTCTCCATCACCAATAAAACTTGGTGGCTAAATGGTCCATTTTCTGGAGCTCTCTGAGGCCAGGTGAGGTATGCGTTGGGCTATGGGAAGCCTGGTTTTGATGCCTACAAGGTTTGTTGTCTCAGCTTCTGGAAGGCTAGTGGATGCCACATTGTTCCCCATTTGCGTTTCTTCTTCGGCCCACTGTCAAAGTTACTAAGAAGATGTGGAGACAAAATCTCACACAGTCAGGCAAGTTTAAGTGGAGAAGAGGCTGCTGGGTTCTCTGACACGGCCCTGGATAGGAGCCCTGCTCCAGCCTCAGGCTCCGATGCTTGTCTGGAGCCCACTACACTCCTTTGAGTTCCCAGGCTGTGTCTGAAGCAGCCACATAGATCCCCAGTGAGTCCAGCTTCCACCATGTTCTTTTAGTCTGGGTCATCCATGAGGTCAGCAAGGCCTGAGAAGAAAAGACTGGCTATATATAGCCAGTGAAGCCCTCTTGGAGTTAGGAACTGGGAGATGCCTTGGGTCTGTGGACCAGAGCTGGGTTTCCATAGCATCTCTGGCTTATAAACCTATATTCCCTATGACCAGGATCCTGAGGACAGCGTAGGGCTATCATAACCCTTGCCCCACAGTCCTGTAACTTTCTCCAAAGTGCACCAAAGTGCAAGCCAGACACAACAGTCTGTGCCCCTCTACCGTGTTGCTGGCTGGTAAGATCAGTTATGGCGACAGGAGGGGCATCTGAGCCAGCACCCAATGTGGTAAATGGCGCCCCTGGTGGTCAGGACCTGGTACAAGGGTAAAGGGACAGGGAGAGGGTGTGCACCTGAGTAAGACGTGTGGCTGAAAAACTAGCCAGCTTTAGATTCTCCATCACCAAGTACCCATTTCTGTGTGATGGAGACATTAGCCACTGGGCTCCTGGAACTCTGCCAGGTCCTTTTTGCCAAGTAGTATTAAAAAACGGTGACCCCTGTGGAACCTCTATTGTTGTGCACAATGTGGTGCAAAGGCTGTGAATTCCCACATCTGTCCCCATTCATGATTCAGTTGCAGACAGTGGGGGGGGGGGCACGAGTTGCTGGCATAGAAGAGTGTTGAGTCTTAAGCTGATCCCAGGCAACATCCTAGTAGATCCTCTATCGACACAAGGCACAGGATGGACTGTGGTACAAAAAGGATTAAATTCACAGCAGTGCTTGCTTTCTCTCTAACTCAGTACCCTGGACTGTCCCGTCACTATTTTGATCATTCATAGTGATCTAAAACTAAGCTACAAAGGATCAGTGCCTGACCCCCATCAACGGTTTGACCAACAAAGCCCCTGTCGCAGACAGGCAAACCAGTGTCCAGTTGCAGTTCTGTATCCTTCACTCTGCAGGACCTGGCTACCCAGCAAGCTGAACCTCAGCTCCCCTCCAGGCCTACTGTGTTTCCTGCATTGGGTTACAGACCCCAGTAAGGTAGACACATGGGATGCTGTCCCCTGGCCCTTGAATCTCATGCTCTATAAGGCGACAGCTTTTGGTGGTGGGCTGGCACGGTCTGAAGGGACATGAAGGGAATATTCGCTAATGAGTGTCGGGGCGTTCCTAAGCATTTCGTAGAAGGAGTCCACTGTGCTACGGTAAAGAGTCCGTTGCAGAACGAAGGGCCGGAAGAGGTTTATAGGCTCGGCTCTCCGCACGGCCTCTGGGAGTCCCAGTGTCTCAGGTACCTTGCGGTTGCCCACAAAGAAGTGATGGAGCTTCTTCTCCTGTAGGCTCCTCTCCAGGAAGCAGAAGAGCTCCTGCAGACGCACATCCAGCTGGTTGGCCTTCCAGTCAGCAGCCCGCCTGCACAGCAGGAGGTGCATCAGGGCGGTTTTTAGGTGGTAGTTGCTCAGCCCACTGGGACCTGTCAGGCGGCTCTGCTTGGAGAGCAAGAAGGAGGCAATCTGCAAACAGCTGAGGTGGCAGGCACCCTCTGGCAAAGCCTTCGCAGTCATCCGGAGAAAATGTCTCTCGTAGACAGCAAAGGACAGGAGCCAGTCAGTGCTGGAGGCTGGCGTGACCCTGCAGGACTCCTTGGGAAGTTGTGGGACAAAGTAGAGGTCTGAGTCGTTACACTGGATCACAGGTGTCAAGATGAAGGGCATGAACTTCCCTGAGCGGAACTTGATTCTGAGAGACCCTGGGGTGTCTAGCTGGCCAAAGGCAAGGTCAAACTCGTATTTGTGGGCAATGCGGTGCCAGGCTCTGGTGAGGCCCACCTGGAACCACTTCATGACCTGCATGGCATCTAGATGCGAGGACTCTCTGGAGCATAGCAAGTCCTCCATCTCATCGTTTGCACCAGCGCCGGGCTGGACCCCACTATTCTTGCCGTGGAGGAGACACAGCATGTCTTCCCCAAGCTTAGTCTTGCCACAGATACAGCCTAAGGGGTCTCCGCCAGCCAGGGTCACCTTGATCTGGCCATAGCCCTGACGACTCAGGGGCACTGAAAGATCGGAGCACCAGAGCTCTGGGTGGAAGCTGTAGGGTTCTGGGGGTATGAAGGGCACAAACAGGTGACACAGCAGCGGCCGCTCCACGTGCCAGTTTTCATACATGCTGCCCACGCCGATGAAGTCCTCCGTTTCCAGGGCAGTGTCTCGGTTGCTGATGCTCCTCAGGGCTTCCAGCAAGTCATCCACGAAGCCTTCCACAAACTCCCGGGTGCGGGTGGCATCACCTGTGGCACTTCGGATACAGTGCTCGTAGAAGTGGTCCAGGATGGCTTTATTGGGCAGGGGAAGGCCCCGCAGTGGAGTACTGCCCATTCCGCACAGGTCATCCTCATCCCCACCCAGGCACTCTGGAAAGGGCCCATCTTGGTGGTCCTGCCGCCATATCTCGATGATCAGGAAGGCGATCATGCAGAGAGTGCTCCAAAGGTCCCAGGCAGTGTGAGCCTCCGGCGGCTGCTGGCCCTCTTCTGCCTGATGCAGGGCCTCCTTCTCGGCCACCAGCCGTGACACCTCCTCTTCCAGGCGCAGCTGCTCCAGCTGCAGCTTCTCCTGGTGTTCCTGCATCTTGCGGATGATCTCCTCCTCATTTTCGGGAACTGTGGCATTCTCCCGTGGGAACAGCAGTGGGTGGTTAATGATGGCCGTTACCACCACCAGGCAAACTCGGAAAAGCCCCATGGCCATGGCTGCAGGGTTCCTAGGAACAGAGAAAGGCACCGCTGGTCACACTATGTTTCCTTCAAGCACCCTTCCCCCTGGACCCTTGTGCCAGCCTCTGCCCCTCCAGAGCTATCGACAGTCCTGACACTCAACCCCCAGTGGTCTCCTGTAAACACGTCACATGCTCCAGTCCAGCCTGGGCTTATACATGTCACGGACATTTCCTTCTGTCTGCAGAACATTTCTCTTGACCCTGAGGGTCAACCTTCTCTCCTCATGGCCCTTTGGTTGGGGAAGATATAAACCCACATCTCAAATCCAGGGGTGAGCACAGACGCCAGACCCAAGGACAACAAGACCATTCACTACAGCCTCAGCTACTCCCACAGTGACTGGTTCTGTGGTGAATATGTGAATTAATCTGAGCCAATGGGAAGGAAGGCTTTCCTTGTTGCTAGGGTTGTCTGAGGACAGGATTACTTCTACAGTGTGGGCTGCTCTTTGGCCACCAGTTTGGAGTAAAGCAGACCCCTGGACCCAATTGCGTGTGAAACCATCCCTTTTGGGGTTTGCGGGCAGGCGAGTCAATGATGAAGTCCTTTCTCTTTAAGCCCGGCGAGTTGTTCTTCAACCATCAAACACTGCCTTCTCCCTCCCCTGCATTTCCTTTAGTGACTGTGTCTTCCTGATGGTTAAGAATGACAGGTTCCTGTGATGCGGGGTGTGTTAACTCACCTCTCTGTACCTAGGTTTCTTGGTTGAAGAGAAGGGCCTCATCAAGGAACTGATGCCACTTGCTTCTCTTATTAAAGCATTTGAACTCTGAGTCTGACCTCTTAACCCCAGGACAAATGGGTTTTTAGTTAGACCTCAAGTAATTTTTAGGAGAAAGGCTAACCTCTTGCTATGTTTGCAATGGAAACTGTGATACAGACAGCTGTGGTGAAGTATTACCTGAAATCTTGTCAGAAACCCAGGTTCAAGCTAGGCAGTGAGACCCCCCCCCACCAACCAAAAATAAAACAAAACAAAACAAACAAACAAACAAAAAAAAAAAAAAAAAAAAAAAACAGAGGGCTTAACAGGTCAGTACACTAGCAGGCCAGAAGAGGGCAGCAGATCTCATTAGAGATGGATGTGAGCCATCATGTGGTTGCTGGGAGTTGAACTCAGGACCTCTGGAAGAGTAGCCAGTGCTCTTAACCTCTGAGCTGTCTCTCCAATCCCACTTGCTACTCTTTCAGAGAACCAATGTTTATTTCTTCAATCTGTATTACACAGCTTACAAGCACTGGTCCTCCAGTCCTGGCGGGATCTGATGCCCTCTTCTGCCCTCCGAGGGCACACCACACACACACACACACACACACACACACACACAGATAAAAATAAATAAAAAACTAAATGCAGAGCCCCAGCCCCACTTCTGATGTCACTCAATCTGTATTTTAAAAACCATCCAGAGAGGGTTGCGGTTGGGGACACAGCTCCATGGTTAAGAACACTGGTTACCATTATGGGATATTTGTACACTGTGTGAAGATGTATTTGCTGCGATTGGTGTGATAAAAAGCTGAACGGCCAATAGCTAGGCAGGAGAGTATAGGCGGGACTTTTGGGCAGAGAGAACTCGGAGGAAGGGTACACTGGCTAGGCAGACTTGGAGGAAGTACCATGGGCAGTGTGGAGATGAGGCAGTAAGCCTCATGGAAGAAAGTAGATTTTTAAAAAGGGGTTAATTTAAGCTATAAGAACTAGTTAGGAACACGCCTAAGCTAAGGCTGAGCTTTTATAATTAATAATAAGTCTCTGTGTCATTATCTGTGGGCTGGCGGTCCTGATGAGAAAGTACTACAACTTTTTCAAGGGCCAATGTTTGATTCCTAGCATCCACATGGTAGCTCTCAATTGCCTATAACTCCCGTTCTGGGGGATCTGACGCCCTCTTCTGGTCATTGAGCACTATTACTTGCTTGTGGTATGGACATATATGAAGATAAAACACCCATCCCCATTAAAAGAAAATAAAAGAAAAGAAAAAACATCATGTGCTTAGAGTGGACTGTAACTTTTAAGTTACATTCTGAGCAATGTTGAAATCATGCTGCTCCACTCCATCTTGCCTGGAGTATGAGTCATGCATCTGTTCAACAGATCCCCACAGTATACACTACCCACCCATTAGCAACTAGTGAGCCACCTTGGCTATCAGACAGGCTGCCATGATAGCACAGTGCTATCTGTGGTCAAGCAACTCTTATTTAATTTTATACCGGCGATTTGGGAAGCAGAAAAGGTTTTCTTTTATGTGAAAAGACATCAATGGAGGAGGGAGGACGGAGGAGGGGAGAGGGAGGAGGGAGGAGGGGAGAAGGAGGAGGAAGGAGGGGAGAGGGAGGAAGGAGGGAGGAGGGAGAATGGAGGAGAGAGGAGGGAGGACAGAGGAGGGGAGAGGAAGGTGGGAGGAGGGAGGGAGATATGAGGGAGGGAGGAGGAAGGAGGAGGGGAGAGGGAGAGGAGGGGAGAGGGAGGATGGAGGATGGAGGAGGGGAGAGGGAGGAGGGAGGAGGGAGGACAGAGGAGGGGAGAGGGAGGAGGGAGGGTGGAGGAGGGGAGAGGGAGGAGGGAGGAGGGAGGACGGAGGAGGGGAGAGGGAGGAGGGAGGGTGGAGGAGGGGAGAGGGAGGAGGGAGGACGGAGGAGGGAGGACAGAGGAGGGGAGAGGGAGGAGGGAGGAGGGGAGAGGGAGACACCACAGTGGGGGAGAGTGGCCAACACTAAGCCCCAGTCTAGAAACCCTCTTCCGCTTCAGACGACAGTTTCAGCTACATCACCGGAACGAGGCCTCATGCCTGCTGGAGGCCACACTACTCTGGGAGTCCCCTTGTTCAGAACTCAAAACCAAGGAGTTAAGTGCCCTTGGAGGAGACAGACTAAGCTAGGAAAAGTGCAGGCACCTTGGACAAATTACTTGGCTTTCCCGATCCTCTTTCTGCATCTGTCAAATGGGAAGAGAGATGCCTCACTAAGGCAATGCCCCCCAGAGCCTTAGTGAAACCCTTGCCACCGAGTGGGTGCTCTGATCTATCAAAGAGAACCTGTGATTGGGTGGGAACACACAGCTGCTCCTGCCTGAAAGGGGCTCCAGAAGGACACAGGCAGCACCCATGGGGTTACAAACCTTGTCAAAAGCACCAGCAACCAGCACAACAAACATAAGGCATTCTGCTGTAGAGATGCCCAGCAGACCTGGCCTTGAACTTGGGCTCTGCTCCTGACGGAGTGTTCTCAGGTGGACCAGTCATCTCCTCCAGGACTCCCATCCTCATCCTCCAGGAGGTCAGAATGGCCCCTCCTTCACAAGGGTACTGGGGTGGAGTGCACGTGGGTGCTCAGCACAGTGCCTGGCCCAGAGCAGGCAGCCCGCATGCACGTGACAGCTTCTTTCCCCTCCGCCTCCATGGGCCTGTTTTCTCACCGACCAAGCACACCAGCCCTGCCCATGTCTCAGGGTGTGGAGGAATGCACGCTGGAAAGTGCTTTGGAAGCAGAAAAACACTCCATTGCTACTGGTGTCCTTGGCGCAGGGCTCCATCCGCCCTGCCCTCCAGCAAGTGAGGAGGTTCCTTCAGAGTCTACACCTTCTTGCCAGTGGGGAGGTCCTGCTGGCTCACCTCCTTGTCAGGGATCTTAACCCAGCTGTCATTTCATCCCCTGCTAACCTCTGGGGGGTCTGTAAGCAGAGCCCCTGGGATGGGGCAGAAGGGCCAGGCCAAGATACTGAGTGTTTTGTAGCCATTCTGTGCTCACCACCCAGTGCTGGGATTGAAGCCTCTGCCCTTCTGGTTGCCAAGCCGGTTAACAGAGACCAGTGCCCTGAAGGAGGATTGTGAGTTCTGATGTAAAGTTCTTGTAACCAGGAATACGGGCACGCACGTGTGCACACACACTTACGTGTGTCCAAACCCTTCCCCATTCCAAGGACATCAGTTTCTGCTGGTCCCAAAGCTCTCAGCTGTAGGACTGTCTCTCACACCTGTGGCTTGTGACAGCTGTTGGCAGCCTTGGCTTTGGGAATAAACCTGGGTCATTTGGCCAGCTTCTGCCTGCTTGCCAGGAAGCAGACAGGAAGCCTGCTGAATTCCTCTCCACCCCAGCCTCACCCACAGGGAGGGCGGCTCATACAGCTAAATTTAGCCTGGCACAGAGCCAGGCCTTGGGGTACAGAGGCTGGGTAAAAGATGGTGACCCCTAGGTGTCTGGGGTGAATGTGGTAGCCAGGACATGTATTCAACCAGGCTCTTCCTGTAGGTTGGTCAGAAGCCCAAAACCCTAGAGGAGAAATGTGAGGTGGTGGCTACTTTAGGGGGTCCCTTATTCCTGCACCCCAGAGCATTTCTCATAATGGCTTTGGTGAACAAAAACCACTATGGGTTATTGGCCGTAGCTCCTGCCTGACAGTCTCTCATTAGGATGTGCATGACACTGTCCACAGTGGCCATTGTGCCCTTCCGAGAGGTGGCTGTGATCCCTGTTTCACAGCCGGTTAATGAAAGCTCACAGACACATGGCTACAGAGGCCCGAGGCCCCTGGAATTCCAGTGCCCTGCCTGCCTCTGCCTGCGAAGCCCAGGCTTTCCCACCCCCTGCCTGCGAAGCCTGGAGCACCTGAGTGCAAGGAAAAAGCTGGAGGCTTCAGGCTCCTCAGTGGTGAGCACAGCACCATCCCTGACAGAAAAGCCTCACAGTCCATATGGAGAGTCGGACAGGGTTAGCACCTCACTGGGCACATGGAAACACACAGAGCGCTTTATTCCTGTCCTTTGAAGGCCCTTCCGGCTCCACCCATTGGTGGGGGTGTCAGGTCCCTGACTCCTTATTCACTCCCTTTCCTCCTTCCAGAGAATTCTGCAGGCCAACCTACTGCCAACCAGAGTCTAACTTAGCCACTGAAGCGCCTCAGCCCATTTCCCAGTGACTTAGTACTTCCCGATGGGACTGTGGGTCTCCAGGGCTCCAACAGCTGCAGCAGCACCTGGGAACGAGACACATTTGCAGTACCACCGTCTGCCTGCTCATCAGAAATGCCAGGCTATGGCCTACCATCAGTGTTTTGGCAAACTCTCCCAGTGCTTCTTGGGCCTGTCAGTGCTCAAGTCTGAGGACCACCCATCCTAAAGCCTGGTTCCTAAGTCAAGCACCCTCTGGGAAGGAAAGTGGGGCTCCTGAAGTGTCACAGCGGGACTCTGGAGCTTGCCAAGGGCTCCTGGCTGGCCCAGCCTGTCAGATGTAATTAGCTTGCTAATTAATTACAACAGAGTCCTGGAGAGGCAGAGTCAACGGGACCATCTGATGGCTTCCTCACTGAAATGGAAAAGAGGAGGTGATGATGGCAGGCTCTCTCTCTCTCTCCCTCTCTCTGTCTGTCTGTCTCTGTCTCTCTGTGTGTGTGTGTGTGTTGTGTGTCTCTCAGGGTGGTGGTGTGTTTTCTCCCACTTTCTAAGTCCTAACCCCTTCAAGAAAGGAGATCACCCAGCCTCTCCTGTTTGTGCTGACCCTACTGTGCGCTGGCCTTCTGTTTGGGTTTCCAGTTCCAGCTAATAAGATCTAGTCAAGACAGTACTGAGAAAGTCAGAACTTAGAATTGTAATAATCTAAGCCCAATTTATGGACTTGCAAACTGAGGCCTAAAGAGGAGCTAGGTTGGACCTGAAGGGTGATGTAGAGGGGGCTGAGGCAGAATGGCCATCCTCCTTGGGCCCTGCCAGGTGACATCTGGTAGGAATTTCTGTGCAGAAACAACAAAAGATGCTTTCATTATTGAGGGCTACTTCATGGCTAGCATGATGTTAAGAGCCCTGCAATGTGCTACTCCATGCCAGGTCCTTTGAACATGCTATCTACCGGTGCCAGACACAGTGCTGAGCACTGTGTGTGTGTGTGTGTGTGTGTGTGTGTGTGTGTGTGTGTCCTGTAACTTTCAGAACATCAGCCTGGGAATGGTGTGACCCAGATGATCTGCAGTATGACTGTCAGGGAGCGTCACCCCGGCTGAGCCTGCTCCTTTCCCTCTGCTTTGCCTCCATTCCTCAGGGGCTTGAGGGGAGCTAAGTGAGTGAGTCCCTTACTTCTTGCTGCTTATGGCTGCTGCCTGGCCACCAGTGGCGACCATTTCTCAGGCTTCCCAGGCCCTGGAGAATCAGGGCCACATCAGGAAGGCTCAGTTGATGGTACAGCTCTTTTTGGCCTTCGTCTTGGTTTGGGAGTTGGGAAGCCGAGCCTGGGCAGCCTGAGCCCTGTGGAGACTCCCCGTCCTATATTCCAGGGCTACAACACACCTCCAATCTCACACTTCCTGTGGGAGTGGAGCCCTGTGTGAGACTAGCTCTCCCGGCCGGCCGACTGGGAGCAAGCGGGCCTCCCCCACTTTGAGTACTGTCCTTTGCTATGACCGTTTCTTCCCTTGCCGCGCTGTTGCCCACCGGTCCAGCAGAGCAAACCAAGTGTCCCTTTGCAGCTTCCAATGCACCCTGCACGGGCTAGACCCAACACAGCCCCAAGCTTGTCAGTGGCTGACTTAGCATGTGCTGAGAGATGCCCGGGAAGACACAGAGACGACAGTCACCTATCTCCTCCACCAACCCCATTGTTGGCTAACTCAGGACCCCGCAACCAGCGCTTGGGCACCTCAGCTCAGGGTGCAATCCGCGCTCTAACACGGTTTTAGGACACCAGGAAGGAGAAAGGCCTGGCAGAGCTGGCCCTTATCCAAGCAAGGACCAGGGGAAACAAGGTACTACTGTAGCATCTCTGGCTGGACCTGTCTTCACCTGTATCTCTACGGGAACGAGGAGTGCATCTCTGTTGGGGGCTGGGCCATGGCAGGCCTCTGGTCCTCATAGGAGAGGGAGGGGCAGACAGAGAAAGGAAGTGAAGAAAGAGGAAGGAAGAAGACCAAGAAGAATAATTGAGAAAGTGGGCAGAAAGGGTGTGGTCTGCCCCACCCACCTCCTTTACCCAAAATCCTTGTAGCTCTGGCCTCAGCCACCATCTTCCTCCCCCACTCAGTTCTTTCTTTATCCAGTTGTTCCCCCTGCCACGTGAAGCCACGGTTGTCAGGGAGAAGTGGGGACAGGTCAGGACACCAGAGGAAAATAAGCCAGGCTGCTGCGGAGGGCGGGGCGGCGGGGGCATCAGTCACTTGGGTGACATGAGTTTACCTGCAGACAGTGGCTACCACAGTGCATATTCCGTGAACCCGGAATGGCAAGACCTCTCTTCCTCCCTACAAGAAGCCAAAAATGTGGATTTTTATCAGAAGCCTTCCTTTTAAATGACTGGTTACTATTTCAAACACTCTTTTAAATCCCCCTGAGTCTACTCGGATATTTCAGAGGTTCGCCAGGGCCTGTGTACTCTGTCTGTAACCCTTGATGGTAGCCCTGGGCATCTTTCCTGCTGCTGTCTGCCTTACTTTACTGGGATGCCTTGCTCCAGGCTCCTGCCTCCAGCGCCCTCAGCAACTACTTGGCATAACTAGTAATTACTTCCCTAGCCTAAGCCTAACCCCTGCCCCAACCCAGTCCTGACTACTCCAGTATCTCCTAGTCAGCCGAGCACCCTGCCTGGAAAGAGCCATCATGGCAGCCTTTGAGGGGCTGAGCGTGTGTCAGGCTTCTTCACATAGATGCCAGGAATGTTTGCTCTCCTTCCCATAGTTTCTCCAGGAACCCGAAGAGACTGTAGTCTAAAGAGTATATACTAACGAGGAAACAGAGCCAAAGGTCTCTGGTTCTCAAAGACAGGAGAAACCCCTCTACCTAAGTCAGAGGAGACCCAGACAGACTGAGCAGGCCACCAGTGAGCCAGTGGGAAGTGCCCACTGCGTGGGGAGGTGGTCCCTTTGATGCAGTAAGCTGTGTGGCCCACATGGGGATGCTGACTGGACTCAAAGGAGGTACCAGGTCATAGTGCCAAAAGCATTCTTGGAAGGGGAAGGGGTTTCAAGGAAGCCACCAAAATGCCAGTCCTCTTGTCTGGACTGGGGTCATGAGGGTGTCCAGGGTAGTCAAGGGACAGGAAGGACAGGGGCCTGGACTCTGGGTCAGGTGGGAGGGTTACATCCTTCCTGTTCTGCGTTTTCACTAGTTGATATGTCCAACTGTGTCAGGGAAACCATCAATCTCCCAGGAAGGACAAGGTGTCCCTCTGTTCAGACCTCTGCCTGACTCTCCAGCAGCAGAGGACCTGGCCCACAGGGCATCACAGATATTGGGATGTCTTGGGAATAGACAGACAGAGGATGGGGTAGGGGCAGGAGGAAGGGCTGCAGCCCTTAGCCCTGAGCCCTGGCCACACCTCCTTTCTGCTCACTTATCCACTTTAGGGCAGCTGGAATCCAGCAGTCACTGTGTGGACTGAAGGGCAGCCTTCAGGAAGATGTGATTCTAGACTAATATCCAGACCCCCGAAGCGACCTTATTTGGATGAAAAACTTTATAGTTGCGTTTAGATGAAGGTGTCTGAGATGAGATCCTGGATCCAAGTGGGCCCCAAGTCCTTACGAGAGGTAGAAAGGGTAGGGCAGAGGGAAAAGCAATGGGATTCTAAAGCTCTAGATCTAGATGGGAGATGCTGTGTCAATCAAGGCACATCTGAGCTGGAAGAAGGGAGGATCCGGTACTGAGGGTACCCTGTTAGAACATCCTCAGGAGACTGGTGTAGGCTCAACAAGAAAGCAGATACCTCCCCAGCCTCTCTGCTTGGTTCTGCTCTGCTCTTTGTTTTGCACCAATGACTTGTGAGACAGACTTTTGGGGTGAGGTCCTGGTGTTCTGTTTTCCTGCTGCCTGCTTCTGCAATCCTCAAGTTCTCCCCGACTCCAGTGTAGTCCTCTTTCCATGCAGCAAGAGCAAAGCTTTGGGTCTAACGTCCAGAGCCTGACTCAGGGGCCCCTCCCTTCGCCCTTGGCTTGCCTAGCCACTGCAGATCATCTACTGTCCTCTGAATACTTCCTGCACATGTCTACCCTCCCTACCCTGTGCCTCATTTCTCTAAGCAAAAACTCTACCCAACCGTTGTAAACTCCTCCCCAAAAGCATTTCAAGGAGCCTTCCAGGTTCCTCCAACTCCAGATAATTCCCTCTTAATTGAAGGGAAGGAACAAGGGCAGGGAGTTAGTCGTATTCACTAAGGCTCTGAACGTGGGCAAGTGTTTGGTGCCACTGTAGGTGAGGCATCTCATAGGTGTGCCTGACAAGTAACAGGTACACCCAATGTGGGTTCCCTGGGTGTTTTATCCCAGGATGCTGCCTGGGTGAGCATGCCATCAACCTCACCTCAAAGGGAGGAGCCCAAGGCACCAAAGTTGAACAGTCTGAGGCCATTAAACTGCTAAGGCACCAGGCCCACACCTTCTGTGCACAGCACCTGGCCTCAGGAGTTAGCTGCATTTCTTAAGAGTCAGGCTTCTCCAGGGCCAGGAGAGGGTGTCTTCTCTGCATTCAAGGTCCCCTAGAGTACCTGACATGTACCTGCTCACGGTGTCAAGGACTCACAGTTTACACTGGGCACACCACATTCTGAGGCAAACTTCCACAGACTCTTGACTACCTGTTCTCTCCACGAGTTTCCTAGGGTGTGCCCTGGCCAGAGGGGCCTCCCTAGACTCCAGGGGTTCCCACACAATTTTATAAAGCTGAAACAGGCACTGTGACTCTGTTAACCACTTCCCAGACTTGTATAGGGCTGGCTCAGGCAAGCACTTGTCCAGTAGAATCTCTTACTGGAATCTCTCTCTCTCTCTCTCTCTCTCTCTCTCTCTCTCTCTCTCTCTCTCTCTCTCTCTCTCTCTCTCTCCCTTTCCCTCCCTCTCCCCCTCCCTCTCCCTTTCCCCTTGCACCCTTCCCGTTTCTCCTCCTTGAGTTTTGTACACACACACTGCCTTCCAAGGCTCCCTCCTTGATGGAACAGGCAGAGCAGGCTGCTGGGTAATGGAAGCAGAAACCCCAGCAGAGCAAGATCCTCGCCAGAGTCAGACAAAGAGTCAGAAGGCTTGAGCAGAACCAAGGAGTAAACACAAAGGAAAACAAAAGCCGTCCCAGGCCCCTCCCCTCCCCGCTGCCCCGCCTCCCCACCCTCCCTTTCCAAAGGAGCTGGGGATGCTGGAAATGAAGGAATTGTCAGCGCCTGGCAGCCACTTTCTTTTTGATCATTGCCTGGGAACAAAGTCAGCTCAGAAGACACAGCCTGTCTGAATTCTCCTGCACCTCTAAGTCACAGAGGAGGATGGCCTCACCCCTACCTCCATCATCTCTGCAGCCAAAGAAAGGCCAGCTCCCCCTGTATAGGCTCCCCCAGCTCATCCTCCTTAGGCTCAGCAAGTACCTGAAAGTAATGGCCCAACTGGAGGAAGAGTCTAGAGAGGGCTGGAGAGAAAGGAAGCGCTCTCTCTCTCTCTCTCTCTCTCTCTCTCTCACACACACACACACACACACACACACACACACAGGAAAGGGAGGGAAGAAGGGGAGGGAGGAGGGAGGGGGGAAAGAGGGAGGGAGGAAGGGAAAGACAGAGTCTGTGCCTGCAAAGATCTCAAAAGGCTTTCATCTTCTTAAAGGAGAACAGAAAGCAGAGAAACCAACCCAGCTGTAAACACACTAAGAGCTGTGGTCAGCTTCTGCCTGTGCTGAACCTCAGGGTTCCCTGCTGGGACCCAGGCTGAGCAACAGAATGGTCGCCTGTCTGCCTTCCCACACTTGTCGGTCATAGCTAACGAATTCTCTCTGGGACACAGAAGGCCTGATCTGTCCAGCTTGGAGCAGCTATCAGAGTCACTCCCTGAATTATCCGTGATGATACAGTAACCGTTTCTTGTGAGTTACCCCAAAGCAAAACAATCAGCAGCGGCAACCTACCGCCCCTTTACTCCCAGCCATAGGGACAGAGTGGCCATTGTAACAACATGTGCTGTACCTAGGCTGTGCCTGGCATGTCATAAGTGTCCAGATGAACACAGGACCATGGCTGATTCATCAGCGCCCATCAGTTCACGTGCACAAACTTCTGCCCCTTCCCCATTCCAAGGCCACCCAGAAACCATCCAAAGTTCTCCAGCTAGGAGGACTCTTAAGTTGGTAGAAGCTTAGAGTACAGTAAAGGGGCCAAACTGTGTGATCAGAAGGACTGGTTGGGGTCTGGTTCTGCCATGTGCTATGACCCCATCACGCCTATTCTACAGCTCTCGGCCGATTGGTGAGGTATTGTGCCCTCACATTCGGTGCTGCGCTTTGGAAATGACATTGTTGTTGGCTTTGTATTGTTTCTTTGGGAAGAGGACACTGAACGACATCCCTGCAGGTTCTTCAGAAGCCTGTGGACACTAAATTATCTCCTCCACTTCCTTATCGTATTCGGAAGATCACAGGAGAAGAGGAAGTTTGGTGGTCCACGAGGCTCAACAGCATCTGCCCCTCTCCCCCCATTCCAGTGGGCTCTCTAAAGAGTTTCTGAGCAGCATGAGGGACAGCTTTCTAGGAATGCTTGCTGAAGAAATGAATGAATAAAGGAATGGATGGAGTCTTTTTCCCAGGAGCAGACATATGACTCCATTCCTAGAGTGGAGTGTGGAGCCCTGGTTGAATTCTTTCTGGGAGAGACCCTGCACTCAGAAAAGCAAAGCCAACAGTGATGTGCCAAGTGCCAGAAATGTGACCCCAATTCCTTGCAGATGTAGCCCTGCAGGCAACTGCAGTTCTTTTTGGTCTTGACAAGCCTTAACTTTCTCAAAGAAAGAACCATGAATGAGGCCCCCGGAACGCTTTATAAGAACCTTGCTTCCTCACTTCTTTTAAGAAAGACACGTAGAAACAGAAGATAAACAGGAAGGTGAGCGTTCAATAAAAGCTCAGTAAGGCAGATCGAGCAAGTGTCCTGTCTGGAGAGCTGGACAAGCGTCTGGGGATGATACACCTTAGGGTTTGGTTGATCTCAGCCAATACATAATGTTTGATGCTTAGCTCTGTCCGTGTGCTTTGTGTGTATCACCCTCAGCTTAAACCTCCCAGGCAGGCACTCATATCCAGATAAGGAAACTGAGGCACAGAGGAGGCTCTTCTGACACAAGGGACAGGGGTTGTACATATGGCTATTGGGGAACAGGACATAGGGTGGGGCCTGAGCATCCCCTGCCTCCTCCCTTCCAGCCTAGGGCGCTCTCCTGCCCTCTCAGAGATTTAGAACCAAGTCCTAGCAAACAAAAGACTTGTTCATGAATATCAGGTG